CACAACAAAGGAATGTCAATAATAATCATTAACTATAGCATTGGTGTTGCTAGAGTTGAAACAAATCGTATTGAAAACAATACAGTAAATTATTAGATAAGACATTATAAAAGTGTATAATCATAGCCAACTTAAAAATAATAATACCCCCGCCGCAGCAAACCTGCAGACTAAGTGAATTTCCATTTGACTGATTGGATTTACACTGATATGTCTACTTAAAAATATAACATTTATTCTTGATTTAAATAGAATTAGTTTAACAAGTACTTAGGTTTGCTGCATCAGGGAGGGTAAAACTGTTTTTTTTTTTTTTAAATGTAAATAGTTTCGTAAGAAATAAAAACATTTTCCAAATTTGATCAAAATATGTTCACAAACAAGCAAACTACAACAGTTTACTTATTCTCCATAAGAATATCATGGGAATTTTAAATTTAAATTTTTTTGGAATTTTCTCCGTAACCATTAGGCGCATAATAACGCTTCAATATACTAAGTTATTTGTTTTTTTAAGCTCTACAAAATGGTTTGGAAAGAAATTGCTAAATTTTATGTTTTTTGGGTCAAAAATGGGAAATACCTATTTTTACCCCATAAAACCCCCTGTAAACCCCCGTTCCCATGGTCCGATCATGCTGGATTGCGAACTCGTTCGAATAAACGTACGTTTACACGTTTGTACCAAATTTCATCAAAATCGGATCATTTTTGCTCGAGTTATCGTGCTGACGGACACATATATATATATATATACTAGCTGACCCGGCGAACTTCGTATCGCCTAAGTTATAGGTCTCCCCTAAGACAGACCGATGGAAAGAAAGTACCGTTACGTTTAATTTTCAAGATGATCTCGTTCGCATCGCTCAATCACGTCCTGGTTGAAGTTCGTTCGCTACGCTCACTCACCTTTGGGTTGGAGCTCGTTCGCTACGCTCACTCACCTTTGGGTTGGAGCTCGTTCGCTGCGCTCACTTGCCTTCAGGTTAGCTCGTTCGCTACGCTAACTCGCCTCCAGGTTGAAGTTCGTTCGCTACGCTCACTCACCTTTTGGTTGCAAATTAGCTGTTGTCATAAATGTAAAAGAAATAATAGTGCTGCACCCTGTTGGTAATCCTTGTAACTTTAATGCTATTGAACATCATAGAACAGAACCAACTTGTTTAATTGAAACAGCTGTTAAGATTCATTAATTCAATTTCTCATAAGGTTAACATGGGAAACTCCAGAGCCACTGGGGCGGAGCCCTTTTAAGAATTTCGAAACGGGAAATAGTTTACGTCCGATTCGCATACCTACAGAATTTACACACCAAATTTCATAACGATCGGTGAAGTCGTTCCGGAGGAGTTTGCAGACAAACACTGTGACACGAGAATTTTATATATTAGATATATAAATATATAAATATATATATATATATATATATGAATTTGAACGGATGGTGTTTTTGGCCTCTAGGGACCTCAAAACGAAAAAAAAAATCGGTCCCGCGTCCAAGTCTTACTATGAGTACTACGGTAATAGCTTATTCCCTATATGGGAAATTCGCTAAAAACACTGGAAAAAATAATATTAAAATAACGATGTTGCTATTCTTTCTCTTTGGTTTTGTTTTTATATTCTTTCTTAGGTTTCTCTTCATCCAAAAACTGTACAATTCACCATAGTTACTTATCGCCCAATCACAGCTTACTAAACATTACGTCGTCATCAGTCCTCAGTGAATGAAATCAGTTCTCAGTTGCAACATAGCGCGCGCAGCGAAAGCAGACAGAGATGTGTAAAACCACGCAAAACGGAGCAGACAAATATTAGCGCAAGCGATGACGTCACCTTTCCATTTTATTTGATAAAGAAACAGATTTTTCAAAAACAATAAAGGGGTGGGGGATTTTTTATATCGAGGGAAAGACGTAGACAATTCGTTATGCAGAGGTTAAATTCGCAATGTAGAGGTTCTGACAATGATAAATTCGCTATATTGAGGTGTGTTATTTTAGCCGAAATCACGAAAAATTTGTTAAATCAAGGTCGTTTTTATGGTTTGTTCGTTATGTAGAGGTAAAATATACATTGTGACTTATGGAGAGTTCTAGGGGATTTAAAAAAATTTGTTATATCAGGGAATTCGTTGTATCGAGGTTCGTTATATCAAGGTTAGACTGTACTTTAAAAGAGTCGACTCAAAGAATATGGAAACACTCACGATGTATGCCTACTAACACTTTCATTTCTTGTAAAACCTTATAATTTTTCAAAAACTGATCTTGTTTTTTAGTGTTTTCTACAAAAGTTGGCACTTATAGCCAGGGCCGGACATAGGGCTTTTTTCGTTTGTGTGTTAAATGTATGACACCGATGGATTTTAACTTTGACTTCCGAAATCAGCTCAGCAAGAAATGCAGCATAAAGTTAATTAAGTTTTCATTTTAAACTGTCCAGGCTTTCTCACTTTTTTCCATTGTAATATATACGCCAACCCAAATTGAAATAGTTAAATATTTCATTTCAACCAAGTCGGTAAATTTGTATTCATTGGTTAATGTTTGTAGTGCATGTTTCCTTAAATTGCAACTAAAATATTAACAGCAATTAAATTATCCAGCTCCAGCTGAGCATAATGTAAACAAATATGTTTTTCATAAGGATAACATGGTAACTTTAAAAGCCACTGGGGCAGAGCCCTAAGGAACTTTTTCAAAAATGTAAGGTCAGTTTGCAAATCTACACAAAACTTTGGTATATAGTATGTGGGGTAAAATCTTAAAACAAAAAAGCCTTATTGCCCTCAAAGTTTCATGTAGCATATTAATAATATAGATTTAATATAAAAAGTATGTGTACGATCTGGTTTAACATATAAAAACTACTATACAGACCGACTGAGTTGTAATTTTTCACCAAATTATATACAAAGGATCCTTGATAACAAGATCCTCCATAACAAATCTCCCTTGACAAAACATATTACTTTCGAATATATTATTTAAACTGTCCATTTATATTGTTATCAATTGACACTGGTCTAATTAATAATGTCACTTCACATCAAATGCAATTATCATCTCTCACACACTATCATTGTAATCTCATAATCATATCATTTCTTTACACATCCATATAATGTTTTCTTCTGTATCTTGTTGCATGTATGTCTTTTCTCATGTATTATTTTGTAAAATGGTGGTTGCAATTGAAATAAATGAATAAATTAGATTGGGATAAATAGGATAGTTTTGTAAATTTTGCAATAATTAGTTGAAAAATAAAAATCTCTAGGGTCCTTGATTTCTAACTTGATTACAGGTCTTATATTATGATGATCCTTATGAGACACTTCTTATCAAGGTTCTACTGTAATAAACTAAGCCAACATAAGGACCTATTCACATCCCTTGAGGTCTGTTCACACCAGCGCCGCCAGATGTCTTACTACGTCTTCGGTGAATTAATATGTCACCCTCGCACTGCTCACACTGCAGCTATGCCATACAGTTAACCCATTGCTAGAGTTTTTTGTCAGGGATGCCCTGTCCATGTGTGAGCCCCCCCCCCCCCCTGATTGATTTCATACTTTTCGCATCAATCAGACATTACTCTATTAACAATTTGTCAATCTATTGTCTCAATTTTTACATCAGACTTCAAGATCCTTTTCTACCAGGTTCATATGCCAAATAAAAATTTTAAATCAGCATACGCAAATCACTTAATTTCCTGCAACCATAATTACACTAATATTGACAATCATTTAGAGATAGTACTACAATTCTGCAATAAAAGACGATACATGGATACTGTTGAGGAGTATGAAATCTACAAGGCGTCAAAAGAACAACCACAGAATATATTAAACAAAAAATTATCACTGAATCAAACATCATCTACAACACCACCATTCACATATATACAATAAACACATTTTATTGTCTATTTAGTATTTTCAGGGCATAGCTTACAGGGATTCAGAATAATAATATGCATTAAAAATGAGTTTCTTTTTATAAACCCTTAAAATATCATATAGGCTATCAATAAATTTTTCTTACAATTTTGATCACACTCCAGTTAGCTACAGATTTGTTTGCATACTGTTGGAGCATGTGCCATCTGGCACAAAAACTAATTCACAGTCTACTGTACAAGTTTTTCAGTTTATAATAATCAATACTGGTAGAGTATTATAAACTTTATTTTTGCTATTCACTTAAAATTCACTTACAGGATTCTCTTTGACCTAGACATTGGTTGAAAAATACCTACAAAAATTTAATAATTTTGTAGGTAATTAAATTCTCTACAAATTTGATTGTGATACTTGTTTTCCTAGAATAGGCCATTGCTGAATTACAGCGATATATAGTTAAAATTTTGGCAAATTTCAGAAAAATTTGTTTTTTTTCCTTTTTATTAAGTGAATATTTTCTTAGCCACAAGTCGTAGAAACAAAATATTAACCGTAGGCTAATTATAGTAAATTTAATTGTCTACAACATCGAATACCTATATCTTCTTTTCCACTAAAACTGAGATATAGGTAGGCAAAAATCTCAGTTTTAATCTCTTACTCCGATTTTTCCAATATGGCGGTGGGCACGGAGGGGTAAAATTGTGAATTTTGCATTTTAAACACCTGCTTACCATCCTAGACAACATATAAAAAAATTAGAACTACCGGACCGTTTGTAAGTTAACCCCCCCATTTTTGTCTCTATTTACTTGACTAGTAGTATCATCTCCAAGGCTACTAACATAGCGTGAATTTTTTAATCATGTTATCTTCGCAGATATGTTCGGTGTTTGCAATAATATAGGGATAGTTGAAGCTCGGCTTGGAATTCCATTTTCTGAATTTTGGTGCTTCATCACTCATGATTTAGGATTTTAAACCCCTAGTGTGGGTCACATTTCCTTAAAAACGGTTGTAATTTCTTGCTCAACATTCAACTAGTAGATAATAAAACATGTCGCCAAAGTAAATCATGCAGACTAACCTTCCAGCAACACTGGCGGGTTGGATTTCTTGCACAAATATTCCAAGCTCTCCCTCAAATTCACTCTTCAAACCGACCACGCTGAAGCCCAGACTTCCTCCTTCAGGTTTCATCAGCTGAAACAAAAAGAAAAATTTAATTTCCAGTACCTTACTTTATGTGCTCATCTCTTTTAACATTGTTTTGCAACAGTTACTAAATTGTTCAATAACAATAACAATGTATACATATGCATAACCTATACTATAATACAAGCTAAGTCAAGTAGGCCTAATAAGAGTTCTCGGTAACGTTATCGTCGTCATCCGCGATCACGGCAAAATTATGAACATTTCCCGCGGCCGTATGGACATCATAATTGTCTCCCGCAGTCACAGTAATGTCACCGTTGTGGTCAGCGATCGTGGCAAAATCATAAACATCTTTCGGGGCTGTATAGACATCATCATTGAATGCCGTGGTCACGGAAATGTCTTTGTTGTCGTCCCCAATTGTGGAAAAAACCTTAAACATGTTTTGTGGCCGTGTAGACATCATCATCGTACATGGACACATGATTGTCCCGTATCATGAAAATTCCCGACTTTGATATCAAAATAAAGACTAAATTTCCGACTTTTCAAGACCATTTTTAAATTCAATACTAATTCCCGACTTTCCTGTTTTTTCCGACTACTAGACACCCTGTACACTAATAGTGGACTGCAGCGAACGCTTTAACACAAATTTTCCCTAAAAGCAGACACATGGTGTAGTCAGCAAATGATTAGTAATAAACTAATCACATAAACGAATCAGGCAGGTACTTTTAAACTGCTTTAAAATGAACCTATAGATTCAAAACTGTTGTCAATTTAAAAAAGAAACCTAAATCAACAATTGTATTACACAACAGCTGTATTACAACCTTTAATTTAAAGTTAGGCATAATTATTCACCTTTATCGTCTGCACTTCTCTTCCATGTGACGACTGCTCAATGGCCTTCTGGAACTCAAGGGCGTATGACGGAGTTGTGATCGGTGGCAGACTAGTGTCCTCAGGAGCCGGACTCACAATCTGGGGACATTAACAGTCTTATAAAAATCGCTAATATAGAGTATAAACCAAGACTCAATTCGAGGGAGGGCAGGCATACCAGACATCTCTCCATAGAAAACACATTTTTTCAGTTTTAAACCATTTGTACGATGAATTTTTCAACAAATACAGTACTGATATTTTGTGCTAAAAACTATTATCTTGGAGATTGAACAAAAGGGTTGATCCAAAGCTTCTACTATAGATTTAAGTTCAAATTCTATCGGTGGGGCACACGGGAGGGACTAAGGCTAACATATCTTGTAGTGTCAGCGTTCGCCGCTAGAACTGCTAAGTTGAAAAAATTTAATTTTTTTTTTTTTAATTTTAGTTATAAAATTAACTTTTTAACTATGAAATATTGTTTTAAAATTATTAAATTAATTTTTAATTTTTAAAATTAAACTGTCATAACATAACCTAACCAACCAGACTTGCTTATGATAACAAAAACTATATAAGATACAAATCTAATTAATGATTACAGTACTTTTAATTTTTAATTAATTATAAAATTAATTTTAAAATTTAGTATTATAAAATTTAACTGTTATAACCTAACCTAACCAGCCAAACTTGCTGATATGAAAAATTTGATGACAAAAAGTTGTGTTGCCAGCGGGATTCGAACCCGGGACCTCTTGAACATCAATCCGAAACGCTACCAACTATGCCACGAACGCCGCTGAAATCACATCGTTTCGTTACGGTAATCGTGTTGCCTCAAGAGAAGACATTAGCCACTAGAGAAATGACGTCACTACACCTTAGCCTTAGTCCCTCCCGTGTGCCCATTCCCAAATCCTATAAATCAAGTGTTGTGTAAAATACTATATTGTCTGTAGTAGGAAAGCATGACTATAGGAAGATTCGACTCACATTTAAATTTCAACCAGATAAACTATTGAATCTCCTTAAAATCATTTTATGGACATTATCATACTACTTTATGTACGAAAGAGAAAAACCCCTTTTAATGTCTGTGAATAATTGAATTTTGGTGATGATTGTACATTAACTTTTACTTGATATTCAAAAGAAATCTCTGAGAGCTCCAGAGTGACACTTCACTAATTTAACTGTGTTTTTTTTCACTATATTTACCCTTAGTAGACACGGCAGCAGTAAAAATGCGTAAAAGTAAAAATAAAAATGACACGGAGCAATAAATGAGAAGCAACAAAATGCTTGACAGAATATTTCACTCAAAAAGAATTAACTAATTTCATCAAACTTCCACTTGAGCTATTTGCCAGTTATTTTAGATGAACCTCTCTCACCACAGTTGGAGTTTATAATACGGTATTTTACAAGGCCTTGAGGACAATTCAATAACTTTTCTGCATCTTACGTAAACTCCTGTAAACTTACCTGAGGTGAAGGTGAGTCGCCTGAAGAGCTCTGAGACAGCTTGGCCACCGGAACTCTCTGATCATCAAACTCAGTGCGGGGAGTAGTGGCGGGGACATAATCTGCCTCATACAGTGGTGGAGGTACACTCAATATCAGGTCTCCGCCCAGCCCGATGTCAAAGTCTACGGGAAGAATGGACGGGTGCTGCTGCAGCTGGCCATTCAACTCACTCAGCGAATCCTACCGATATGGTCCAATTTAGTATGTTAACTTGTTACAATATTCTCTTCTAAAACAGGATTTGTATACAGTAGAACCTCAATTATCCGGTGTAATGTGGGTGAAGGGAGACAACAGATAACTGAAAACCTCGGTTAATGCAACATGACACAAACATTTTATAACAAACCCATAAAAACTGCCTAGTACAGTATAAAATGGTCATAATGTGATAACCTACGTTTTACATAATCAAAACACAGTAATTAGTATGGCGCAATCATAAAATGTGGAGTCATTTACCTTGCTTCAGTTATAAAAACTGTAATGTTTATAATCACAGCTTAACTCAAGCATTTACTTTAAAAAAGGCCAAACACTGTACAGCAATAAATCACGTAAAGAACAGAACAATGGAAAGTCTAGTAAGCATTATGTTGTCAATGAATACAAAACCTATAAGAAGCTAAATGACCTTTGTTAAAGATTCAGTCTCGGAATATTTGAATTTTGGATAGTTCCTGCGGCGGCTGTTAGGTAGACTATCGCGAGCTTGCGGCCAAGTCAGCTGACTGAGTGAGAAAGAGTGAGACAAAGAATCGGCTTAAAGATAAAGAGAAAGAAGAGTGCGGCTGCAATTTCATTTAGGCAAAATTTCGGTCTGACTATTTTCAATGAGCACTTCACTCCTTTCGCTCTTAATTGATGTTGTCTACTGTTGTGACATAGCGCATAGCAGACAGATGTGTAAGGAGCAGACGACAGTCAGTGCAAGCGCAAGTTTTAACAGTTAAAAATTGCTTACTTGTAAGGTAACAATACTGCGTAGGATTGGATTTTCCAATGATGATATGAGGAAGTTGAGGTCATCGGCAGTCTGAGCTTGTAGCTTCACGTCGTCACTTTGGTTGATTGTGAGTTGTATGTGCTCCAACAGCTGAAGAGCACTTGATATGTCTGCGGAAATATCAAATAGTCAAGTTAATTAATATTAAACTAGTGGCTTGTAGGGACATAAGTCCCTAAAAAGCTCAAATGCAAAACAAGTTATTGTAATATTTAAACAAACTCTGAATCAAATTATCTATGTGTAAGGATTGATATCCCCGTACAACATATCTTTTGTGTAAAAAACAGTTTGTTGTTTGTCTTTGTTTGCTTTTGTTAATGTAATTTTTAATAAATAATTTGAATTACTTCAGAAATTAACTCTGATAAAGGCAGCAAACATGTTTGTGAATAAATATTGGCTTACTAAGGTAGTTTGGGTCTTTTGGTTAATGATGATAAAAAGGCTTCCCTGAAATACAGATTGGAAATTGCCGTCAAATATGAAAAGGCAAACAAAAGGTGTTGAGATAACACTAGTTCTTGGTCAACACCGCTAAATTAGCACCCTGACCCAGTCATCCGCTATCATCTTACCAAATTTCAGCCCAATCCGACCAGTATTTATATGTGTGATTGAACTTCAAACAAACAAACAAACAAACTTACAAATTGATAAGATTAGTAAGACAAGAAAAAAGAATTGGGTCACCTGTTAACACGACCCGATTTAGGGACCCTAAATCGGGCCCGATTAATGTCGGCCCTGAAATCGGATTGTGTAAACGCGTGCTACTGGTCACGATTTGGCTGGCGATCGGGTAGGGAGGTTGGGAAGGATTTCCATCGGATTTAGGGTGGAAGGGTGGGGATAGCTCCAGGCAATTCTCTCAGTCCAACCTTGATATGAGAGTCTGACTTGTTTCTTTAAGTTTTATTCGTGGTTTTGAGATGACGGAATCTACTCCACAGAAGGAAAAAGACGTTTTGAAGGAAATTATCAAAGTGTACAAAACTTACAAATTGTTGTGGGACACTTCTCAAGTTTGGTATTTACACTTGAAAAAACTTCCAAAAACAACTTTTTAAATCTAATTAACTTATTACGTGAGTCTCCAAGGAAGGAAAGCAACACACTGAGCTCAGATCGGACGCAGAGAACAGGTCGTGTAAACACAACGCTCTGTCGACCAGGTGACAGGGCGGTCGGGACCAGGAACGGGAAAGGGCAGTCGGGAACGGGTCGTGTAAACGGGGCTTAAGGTTTACCAACAGGGTCCAGCACTATTATTTTTTTTGCATTTATGACAACAGCTAATTTGTACCAAGCAGCAAAAAAAAAAAAAGCTGAGACAGACAATAAGAACTTTACATTTTTTTATACCTTTAGGCGCAGTTGTAAAACATTGTGGCTACGGTAGATGTGTTCTATCTATACTATAACATAGGCTACCGGTTCTGAAATTTAAAGAACCAAATTTCCTTAAACTGTGTTATCTCCTATTATAATCACAAAGCAAGAGTATAACTGCAATAAGCAAACGTAAGAAAGACTCTACGCTAGTAAAATTTATGCTCCTTTTGAAAATGTTTGAAAAAAATTTTAAAATAAAGGCATCCCATTGACCAAACTTAACGCTAGATGTTTCTGATCAACATAAAAAAAAAACTACTATTAATCTATTGTAAGATTATGTGGTGGTATTCCTCCTAAAGATGATATTGCCTTTATATATTCCATAAAAAAAGGCCCAATCATTGCTGTCTCCTTCCTATTTTGCGACTGGTTAGGGTTCCATTACCCAGTAATCGAAACCAATCACAAAATTACTTTTCATCAGCATCTTCAAAATGAATATTTTTGGTTATTTTTTAATAAACGGAAACTATCTCTAGGTTTTACTATTGCGGATGCTCCCTTTACCACCGTGATGCTAGGATATATTATTTGAACCTTTTTTGCTCGGAGCAACAGGCAGTACCTGGTTTAAATCTCCTCCAAACAATATTGTTTTTCTGCCAATTGGAACTTGTCATGGTAGGCCTACTTCCTTAATGAACAAATATATTGGCTGTACAAACCTAACTTACTTCATCTTTATTCCCACATTGTTTTCTAAGAATGGCCGTTGAGGTTGTTCGACTTCATACAAAATATTGATTTTAAAAACTATAATAAATCTTAAATTAAAAAATGATAGTAAAGATACAAAAAAGTGTGGAATAAATCTTTAACATAGGTAACCTATGTTTTGAAATCAAAACAAAGCAAAAGTTTTCTATTTATTCTTTAATCGTTTATTATTTAGTAAATGGGGTTATTTCAGGTTTTAGACATTCCTTCAACTCAACAATAACCTTCAAATTAGAAGAAAAAACATCATTATTTTTTCAGACATTCTAAGTTTAATTTCTTTTGATTTGAGCAAAGATTACATATGCTACGCAAAATAGATATTGCACCTTACGGCAATTTTGTGCCAAGTCGTTTTTGGATGGGGCCACCTTCTCGTAGTTGGGTGGTCCCTCAACAGAGGCGCTGTGTCAAGTCTCGATCTGCATTACCATTCAAGTTCGGGTGAGTTCGGTAATGTTCGCGTGCTCGGGATTAACTTGCCTGTACGCAACGCGTCGTCACCGTATCTCTAGTTTGAAAGCGCACAGGCTGTCATTAATGTACCATATAACTTTATCTTTTTACAAAAATGGCAGTTATTTAATTTTAAATTAAAGTGACCACGTAACAAAGAGCTAAAGGATACTAAAGGTGTACTGATATAAACATGAATTAATAAAAATCTTCAAAAATTTCAGTCACAGTGATAGAATAAGCTTACAATGTTATACTAGTTTTTCTGCATCAAATTTTAACGTACACCCCTAAACCTTAAATTGTTTAGAGAACCCTAAACAATTTAGATATTTATAAATCTTTCAAGTTTTAATAATTAGTGACTATTTGTGAGTTCGTCGACTTTTCTGTTTTCGGAATTTTTATCCACAAAGTTTGCTTCCGGATTTCTAGACTCACGCAATATCTTGCTACTAACTCACGATGAGGAATGTATGGTTAAAGTCAACTACTACCTAACTATTCACTGGCTACTCGACGACCTTTTTAAAAATAGCAATATACACATAGTTTGTAGGAAGAACATTTATCTACACAGATCGGCATTTGTTTTCTAACTACGTATTATCTCGTCACATTATGGGTGTTTTGTAAGTGCCGTTTGCAACTGAGCTTTGAAGAAAACGTTGAGCATAAGATATAAAATATAGATTTTAGATTTGGATTGTTTTATATAACAAATCTTTCAACTAACGAACGATATAAAATAAATTAAAGAACACATAGTTTTAACAACAGCGGAACCTTAGTTGTACATAAATAATTAAAGAGGTTATCTTTACCACGTAAAAACGATATTTAGGTTGGAAATTGGAGGTCAGTCACACTCTCGCAATCACACGAAAGTGAACTAACCCGAGGGACCCGACATCCCAATGTACTGGTATGGCCTGTTTTAAACATTATATTAAACAATAGGTCGAATACTTTGTACCGGAAGCCTGTAACTACATTTTACAACAGACATTTCGTTCGCCTTCCCAGTATAGCTATTCATGATAAGTTCCTGAATCAAAATTAAGCCATTGTATTGGCGTAGCCAGGTTTTCAGGTTTACCACCCCTCTCCAAAATTGAACCCCATAAATATATAACCTAGGATATTTTATTTCCCTCTTAGTGGTGGTCTTCGTTGATAAACACTTAAACCACAACGTTCAACGTATGTCTATTTTCAATTGACAATAAATTACAAATTATTGCATAATAGTATGATGACGGTAGTTAATAATATATTTCGGAACTCTATCATAACTGTTTTTAGGCAGACTCTAAAGATAATGAGACATTGACAGTAGAAATACTGGTGAATTTATTGCTATGTGATGAAGGGGCTGCCGCGAGACAGTGGTGATCGTCTGTAGAGGCAGTACTGAGTGCACACTCCTGAGTGACAACTTGGTGTACATCCATAGTTTGTTAGTACATAACTAGTCATGTTGGTACAGCTTTCTTTTTACTTCTCATATTATTTATAAAGCAGTTAGGTTCAAAATGCAGTTCACACACTAAACGTGAATCTAAAGCAGTGTCGGGATTCGGGAAGGCCTTTCCGTTTTTTGATTGCCGTGTTTGCCATTTATCATACACTCGGCTTAATACTTGGTATTGTCCATGAAAATATCCCCATCATAATACAATTGTAATTCACTAAACATATTAATAACACTTCTTCACTCTTGCTAATCCATCTTCTAATAAACCTCCTGTTACTTCCATAAGCAAACAATCACAAATAAAGGTTAACCATAACAATAAACAAAAACAAAAAATACGTAAATAACAGCTGGTCATGTCGGCAATGAAGTCTTAGGTTGTGAAGACATTCGCTAGGCTTCGCATGGAAATTGATATCACAAAAATGGCTTGGCTGCAATATCTATTTTGCGTAGCATATTTAATCTTTGATTTGGGCAATCTCCTATGATTCTACTACTTATCATACGCTTAACTAATTTACTTAAAAATACACAAGTTAGCAAATTGTACATTAAAACAATTGATTTCAACTAGGTAAGACGTAACGAAAAATTCTTAATTATTTTGGGTAATGTTATCTCTGGTTTTATACAGTAAAGAGTTACATTGTAAAATTGACTGGCAAATGAGTGGTCCAGTGGTCCTAATCCAAATGTAATATATTGCTTACTGGCTTAGTGATGAATCACAATCAGCTGTAGGTCTATTGAAGTAAACAAAAATCAGCAGTAAATAGCTTCAAATGCTATTCTTAAGGAGAACATTTTACGTTACCGGTATATCTAAATTTCTGTTAAAATTTTGGGAATTCCACTATTTTTTCCGCCATCACGGGATAGAGACCTTTAATTTCAACCCCCTCCCGGTATTCTATGACATCCCAGTCGCCCGCAATTTTGAGGCAAAGAATCGCCTAACGTAATTAATATATAGAAGGTTGATTTACCTACTAAAATAAATAATAATTAGTTTATTTACGAATTAAAATATTAAATTACTTTATTTTAATCAAATACAAA